GTGGGACACGGCCTCAGCATGGCCAGAGAAGCGGTGCATGGGTGCGCGCCCTGGATCCGAACCTGGGACGCCAGTAGCGGAGCGTGCACACTTAACCGCTAAGCCATGGGGCCGGCCCAGAAAGGATTCTTAAAAGTAGAATTACTATAACAAATTATATGAGCAGTTTGAGGCCTTTGTAACAATAGAAAATTTTTATAATCTGGGAAGGTTTTTACCAGTCTGTATTCTCACCAAAAATGTGTTAAAATCTGTATCTCTGCACCCTTGCCATCACTGAGTAACATATTTTACTTTAATTTTATATGCAAAAATGTCATCCTGTTGTTTTACTTTGTATTTCTATAGGTACTTACACAGTTGATTTTTAAACATTTGTCAAGAATATTTCTTCATTTGTGAATTGTCTGTTCACATCACTTGCTCATTTTTTAAATGGGGTGTTAGTGTATTTAACTTTTTGAGTAGATAATTCCCAGAGAGTTACAAAATTCAAAAGGTACAAAAGGTACACAATATGCTAGTCACTCATTCCTGTTTGAGTTGGCAGCCATAAATCCTAGTTCCTTGTATACCCTTCCAGAAGTAACCCATGCTTGTACGAACACCTGCATATGTATATTTTTTCACACAAATGTTAGTGTATTATATATACTTTCTGTTTCTTGGAGATCCTTCCATTTTAGCACATAAAGATCTATTTCTTTCTTTCTTTTTTTTTTTTTTTGTGAGGAATATCAGCCCTGAGCTAACATCCATGCTAATCCTCCTCTTTTTGCTAAGGAAGACCGGCTCTGAGCTAACATCTATTGCCAATCCTCCTCTTTTTTTTTGCCCCCAAAGCCCCAGTAGATAGTTATATGTCATAGCTGCACATCCTTCTAGTTGCTGTATGTGGGACACGGCCTCAGCATGGCCGGAAAAGCGGTGCATCGGTGCATGCCCGGGATCCGAACCTGGGCCCCCAGTAGCGGAGCGCGAGCACTTAACCACTAAGCCATGGGGCCGGCCCATTTTCTTTCTTTTTAATGACTACTTGAGATACTGTTATTTGGATGTAGCATAATGTATGTGCCCTATATGATAGAAATTTCAGTGGTTTTTAACCTTCTGGCGTCATAAGCCATGGTGCAATAACTAGCTTTGTACATATGTGTGTGTCTGTAGGATAAATTCCTAGAAATGAAATTACTGGATTAAGGGTATGTGGATTCAAAATTTTTATAGATAGTACAAGCTACTCTTCGTAGAATTTTTTCCTCAGTCTCACCAATTTTTTATTAAACTTTTTGATATTTGCTAATCAGTTAAGCGAAAAATGGTATGTCGTCATAATTTGAAATTGCACTCTCTTATTATTAGTAAGGTTGAGCATCTTTTCGTATGTTTAAAAGCCATTTGTGTTTTTTTCTTTACATTACCTGTTTATATTCTATGCCCATGTTTTGCACTGAGTTGTTAGTTTGTTGTTTTTTTTAAATTGCTTTGTAGGAGTTGTTTATAACGTATATTGGTCCTTTTTGATATGGATTGCTCAGAGTATTTCTAATCAGTTTGTAAGAGTTTAATATATGTAAGCCTGTGGCAAGACTCCCTCCTTTTCCTTGGCCTGAGGAGTGGTCTGCTGGTTAGCATTTCTCTTTACCTAGTCATCCTCAAGGGTGGGTGCTTTAGCTCCACTTTGCTCTATTTTGTCTCCTAATTTACCTAAAGGCAAATATAACTTACCACTTCAGAAGCTATTATTTTTTCCATAAAAACCTCATAGTCTCATGTGAAAAAGCACAATATAATGAATTATATACTTGAGAAAAATGTATCTGCTTATCAACATGTCTTTGACTCTATGCCTTGCTAAATAATTGCACTGGTCCTATTAGTTAAAGGTGCATTCATCTTCCTCCTTGGCTGCTTTTCATTACAAAGGGCCCAATATCTCTGCCTGAGCCATTCTTGGATAATGAAACTTATGGCAATGAGTAAGGATAGATGGATGGGAGTAGAAGGTGATGAGGGTAGGGGAGATGGTACTAAAGATCTTCATTTTGAGGGCTAAGATCCTGGTGGACCTCCTTAATGGAGGGAGTAATTTTCCATCCTGATAGGTGGGGCATAGTCATTCAGAACAATGCAATGTGTATCTTGTTTTATGAGCTCATAGGACAAATATTGATTGGTTTGGCGTCATCCTAGGGTGACATAGTCCCAATCGTTGCAACATTAACTTCAAAGGTTATGTGGGGAAAAGGCTAGGACTAATGACCAAGGAAAGGGAATAGTGCCATCCCAATTGGGGTGAAGAAGTCCCCCTTTAAATCTATTGTATTTGTTATCTGTTGTTGTGTAACAAATTACCCCAAAACTTAGCAGCTTAAAAATAAACATTTTTTTAATCTTACAGTTTCTATGGGTCAGGAATTTGGGAGTAGCTTATCTGGGTTCTACTTCAGGATTTCTCATGAGGTTACAGTTAATATGCTGGCTGTGTCATCTGAAGGCTTGACTGGGACCAGAGCATCTGCTTCTAAGATGACTCACTCACATGGCTGTTGGCAGAAGGCCTCAGTCCCTTACCAAGTGCACCTCTCCATATAGCTACTTGAGTGTCTTCATGATGGGGCTGGTAGCTGTCCCAGCAGTGAGTGATCTGAGAGAGAGAACAAGGAGGAAACCACCTTGCTTTCTATTACCTATTTTTGAAAGTCTCGCACTGAAACTACCGCCACATTCTATTCATTAGACGGGAGTCCCTGAGTTCAGCCCACACTCAAGGGAAGGGAAACAAAACTTTAATTTTTGAAGGAATATCAAAGAATTTGTGGACATATTTTAAAACCATCGCACTAAAACATTCCTTAAAAACACTTATTATAGCATACTTTGAACTTTATTCCATTGCTTGAACTATATGTATCCAGAAATATTTATTGAATCAACTATATTATTCCAGAAATATTTATTGAGTGTGTTACCTGAATCACTGCATACCATTTTTACCATTCATTACTGGGAACCATTCTGTTCTAAAGACTGATATCCTCCTAACACTGGTCTTTTTCCCTTCTCAGGTGCTTGTTGTGTTTCTTTTTATTCTAGCAGCCATAGAGTTGATCTTTGTACTCACAGAAGACTCTGGACAAGCTACAGTCCCTGCCATCAGATATACCAATCCAATCCTCTACCTGGGCACATGGGTAAGGCCCGTCACCACTTCTGTCCTGTTTATTTTCTCTATTTATAGTTATCTAGCTGAAATTTGCTCTTTTGGAGTGAAATAAAGTCCAATTTCATCTACCTTTTTTAAGGGACCTGTGGTGAGGCAAAGTTTGGATGTAATGGGGTAAAACAAATATTAGCTTTTTATCTTCTTTTGAACACTAGTTTATAGAGTCTTTTCCCTAGGGTAAGTACTAGCTTTAGTGACTGAAATGTGTAACTTATGCCTGCATATCTTGCCATCTAAGGCTCGTACATGAAATTCAACTTTCTTAATGTAAAAAAATTTTCTAAATATTAGTTTTAAATCGACTGACTGGTGACTCTAATCAATGGATCACTGAGTCTAGAGTTGTTTGTATAAACTTGATGACAGAAACTGCTGCCTCTCCTGCAGGCAAGTTTTTTTGGGGGGCCTGTACAGTGGTTTAAAACACAATGGAGTTAGATGCCATCATTTTAAAAGAGGAGGATGCCATATAATTATTTGGATTTCCAAACTTCCTTGAAAAATCAGAATGTCTGGCAACTACGGGCCTACATTCCCACAGGGCAATGGTCAGCTAGGACTGAGTAGCAGTTGCCCCCATTAGACCAGGCATGTGCTCAGTACAGTCCCCCACCCTCACTTCACTCAGTAACATGGGCTGCCCGGCCCCTGTAGGCATTATTGTTTGTTACCATTGTTATAAAACAAAGAAAGAAGAATCTAGGCAGTGGTGTGCTGAGGCCAGCTCACAGAGCTGGTTGTGTGCATCTCTTCCCAATCCTATGTTTAGTGACATCATGTTGGAGCTTGAAATCCACCATAGTGGGAATATTTACACAATGGAAATTGACAAAGGCTACAAGTCATGGCTTTTTTTTTTTTTTGAGAATGTTGGTTTACCAGCACAGTACTAGATCTAGGAAACTAACATTTTTTTTTTTTTTTAAAGGTTTTTATTTATTTTTTGCCCCCAAAGCCCCAGTAGATAGTTGTATGTCACAGCTGCACATCCTTCTAGTTGCTGTATGTGGGACTC